CAGAGTTACTCTAAAATAAGGATGTACGATAAAAATCACGTCGCTCAGAGTTTACCCTCACCATCCTTAAATTACCCATAAGACACAGCATCTGCTGGTCGGCCTCACAGGGCAGTTTTCTCCCCGTTTTGGTACAAATCAGCCTAAGGACCGAGTGACGTGAGAGCCGGAATCGGCCATGTTTGTAAGAGCACGTCTGAAGCCAGGCTTCCTCCAATCCCTCCTCTGCTCGTTCCTCAGTGTGGCCTTGGGCCTCAGCTCTTTCCCTGAAGTGTGGCTGTCACCGTATCAACCAGCACACAGAGAATCCCAGGGCCTCCCTCACATACCCCAGCCTCCCTTGCAGTTGGTTTGGGGCCATGGGAGGAGGGAAAGTAAGGAGAGGTGAGAAGGTTAAGAACTGGGCATCTCCTCCATCCTTTTCTTCCTTTGCTTCAGTGACCTCACAGATCCCATATTCCAAATATTATAATTTATAAACCTGTACCAGTCAGGTAGGAGCAACACATAAGCTGTTACTGGGTGAGGCCACTGGTATTTTGGTAGTGTTATAACTACAACCTAGCCTAGGCTAGCCTAATACACTGGGGATAGTAATATTTCCTACTTTCTTGGGTTGTAATACAAGTTGAATTAGGTGACATTTATAAATTGTTCAGAATTGCACTTGACTAAACATTATATCAGTGCTTAGCAGGTGACTAGGTAGGTAACTAGGGACAGACAGAGGCAGTAGCTGCTTTCTGAGCTGCTCTGAGAACAGCTAAGGAAAAATCTGAGTCTTGTGTCCTATTTTATGCTTCACCTCCAGAGTAGAATTGCTTGCATTTTACAAAATTCTTCTCTCTTTATCTTCCAAGAGCATAGCCCTGAATTAGCATAAAGTACACATACACGACAACCCACTGTCCCTAACACCCGTTGCCAGGAGAAGGGGCCATGCACACTCCTCAGACTTCAGGGACATTTCAACCTCTTGGACGGCTTCAGAATTTGACTTGCTGTCATCTTATTCAACCCCCCTCCCCAGCCCCCCGACACTTCACATTCACACTGAGGACACCTCCAGCGCCATGGCTCCAAGTCCACGCCATTCCACATCCCATCTTCCCTCATGTCAGCCACTCGATGGAACAGTTACCGCTCAGAATGGGTTGTCATGAAGACCATCACATCTTGACTTCCCAAGTTCCTGACCTGATCATAACTTTCTCCAGCCTTCCACCTTCCCCACCTACTCACTTCTATTTATATCACCTGCCCTTGCGTGAGACTATGGATTGGGAAGGTTATTGGTGCCCCACAGGGCAGGGAGCACCAAACTACAGCCCATGGGCCAAATCTGCTTTTGTGAATAAAGATGGATTGGAACAAAGCCAGATCCATTTGTCCCCGTGTTATCTCTGTGGGTTTCGTGCTACAATGGTGAAGCTGAGCAGCTGTAACAGAGACCACAGTGGCCTGCAAATCCTAAAAGATTTACAATCTTCCATAGAAAGAGCTGGCTGACCCGACCTAGAAAGCCATCTCCCTTCCCCAGGACCCCTGAGATCACTGGAGCATGTTTCACGGCCAGCCCAAGGCTCCACCACAGTAACCCTCCTCCCACTGCTGCTGGAGAACTGGCTTATGAAGGAGCATGAGGAGGGAGAACGAGATGATGGGAGGGAACTGGTTGGTGGATTGTGCACATTCAGAGCCAGGTCTTGGTAAGGTGCCCCAGGCCTCCCCAACGTCAGGAGGCATCTCACTTGGGCCCACACCTGCCCCTCTCCCCATGACCCAGAGGTCGTTTTCCTGCGTGACATCTGAGCTCTGGGCATGACCACAGGAAGGTGTGCCTCTCCACTGTCTAGCCCCAGCCATCTCTAAGGGGAGCGCAGCCTGGCTGCCCTGCAGTCAATAGTGCGAGGCTGGGAAACCGGGATCAGAGAGTTTCCTGGCTCCTGCCCTCATTCCCCTTAAGAACCTTGGCTCCTGCCTGCCTTGGACTCTTCCTGTCCAGGGCACACTCAGGAAGGAGACCGTACCTGGGGTCTTGCCTCTCAAAAACAAAACCGGGCACCAACCAGCTTGGCCACTGCCCCACCTGGGCCAGCGCCAGGCCCCCAGGACAGCCCATCTCCCATAGTGCTTTGCCACCATCTCAATCAGAACCCTCACTAAGGACTACCCCCAGTGTAAGCACGCCTCTCACCCCAAGGCAGCAGCCTGACAGCACCCACTCTGTGCAGCACACCTGGTAGGTATTCAGTAAGTATTTTTTTAAATTAAATCTTTATTGTTCAGATTATTACAATTGTTCCTTTTCCCCCCGATTTTTGTCCAGTCTCTTCCCGCACCCCCCACACCCCTTTCCCCCTGAGAATTGTCAGTCTACTCCCTTTCTATGCTCCTGATCTATTATATTCACCAGTTTATTCTGTTCATCAGATTTTTTATTCACTTGATTTCTAGATTCACTTGTTGATAGATATGTATTTGTTGTTCATAATTTTTATCTTTACCTCTTTCTTCTTTTTCCTCTTCTTAAAGGATACCTTTCAGCATTTCATATAATACTAGTTTGGTGGTGATGAACTCCTTTAGCTTTTTCTTATCTATGAAGCTCTTTATCTGACCTTCAATTCTGAATGATAGCTTTGCTGGGTAAAGTAATCTTGGTTGTAGGTTCTTGGTATTCATCACTTTGAATATTTCTTGCCACTCTCTTCTGGCCTGCATAATTTCTGTTCAGAAATCAGCTGACAATCATATGGGTACTCCCTGTAGGTAACTAACTGTTTTTCTCTTGCTTCTTTTAAGATTCTTTGTCTTTTGCTCTTGGCATTTCAATTATGATGTGTCTTGGTGTGGTCCTCTTTGGGTTCCTCTTGTTTGAGACTCTCTGCATTTTCTGGACTTGTAAGTCTATTTCTTTCACCAGGGAGAGGAAGTTTTCTGTCATTATTTCTTCAAATAGGTTTTCAATATCTTGCTCTCTCTCTTCTCCTGGCACCCCCATAATTCGGATGCTGGTTAGCTTGAAGTTGTCCCAGAGGCTCCTTACACTATCTTCATATTTTTGGATTCTTTTTTCTTTTTGCTTCTCCAGC